ACTCGATATTTTGTGGTTAGTGACTCCTTTGGATTTTAGTTATCGGCACAAGTTCATTGTTTGCGTGCGTGAAGGAAAATTTCGAGAACGCACATAAAAGTAATAATCGAATCAAACCGAATTGAAAATTTTCCTTTCGAAAAAAAATGAACAGAAAAAATCTGTAAGAAACATATCAAGGGAATCATTTTATTTATATATTTTTTTTATTATTATTAATATTATACCAGTAGTCGTAAAATTGGTGGTAAAAAAAATTCTTTCATGAAAATAATGTGTTTTTTACGCGAATTGTTGACAATTTTCAACGATTTGACGAAAGAGAAAAAAAATTCACGCAAATTAACAAAAAATATACATCGACCATACAGTGATGCTGTCCGTCCTCCAAAAATGAAATCAACCAAAATATAAAATGGGAATTCATTTTCTCTTTACCACAATTTTATTTACAGTGATTTGATAAATGAAAATGAAGTGTATTCATTGCGCCAGTTGGAAGCGTTCAATGCGTTATCGCCCAGCGAGAAATTAGAATTGCAAACAAAAGCTGCGGAACGCAGTGCTGAATTGAAAATCGCAAAAATCGATCCAATTTCACCGAAACAAGAGACATTTGAAGCGAGAAACATTAAATTGGAAGTGGTTGATGATTATCCATTACAAAACAAAACCAATATCAACAACAACAGCAACGACCAATTGAACTGTGCTAAACCATCAGATTTGATTATTGTACCGGAAACACCGATTCGACGTGTTTTAATCGCAAATCAACTAAACAACGGTGCAGCAGCAAAATCCAATCCAAAAGCCGTTACAGCATCGGTATTTAAGGCAATACCGATTGGTGCAAAGCAACCGTTTAAAATTATTGGCGGCGAACAATTGAATTGTAACGGAAATAACGGCGTTGCACGTGCTCCACAAGCCGTAACCGCAACATTAATACAGCCAATTACGGCTGTAAAACGTGACTCGTTTGGAAAAATTCAATCGAATATTGCAAAACCGTCATTGGTACCGCGCCAAACTGTTGTCACTGCATCATTATTTCAACCGCGCAACACAACCGCTGGACCCAAATTTTCATCGGCCACCACTGTCACTCAACAAGCATCACGTGCTGCTGAAACTATGAATAAATCGTTTTGTATGCTCTCCGATGATTTATCTCAGCCTACTTGTGAGTATATCTATGTGTTTCGCAACCCATTTTGTGCGAATCATTTTTCGGCCATCGACCGGCACATACGGAAAATCGAGGACATTGACTGCATTTACAAAATGAACCAAATCAATTTTTCAAAAGCTATGTTATCATATCGACATTTATTGAATATTATGTGTCTGTTTGTGTCATATTTGACAAGATAGAGAGGGACAGAGTGGACCATCATGCAATTGAAGGCTATTTGATTACATACAATATGTAAATCTCATTTTATTTAGCGAATTGACAAGAAACCCACTTTGTTGCGCGCACGCACAACACATTTCGCGCCACTTAAAACGAAAACAAATCAAACGAAAGATATTTATTTGTTTCGGTTTCATTGATTTGGTTTTGTTTCTTTTTTTAATGGCATTTTCGCATCGTTCTGTTGGCCACATTAAACAATACAAAAATACCGAACAAGTATTTTCGTTGAGCCATAGCCAAATTGCGTTGTTTACACAACCGATGTGATATGAGCGCCTCAATTGCTCGATCTATCATTTGTTGTCAACTTAAAAAAGCTATTTGGCCTTGAAAATCCTCTATTTATGTGCGCCCATTTGCTTTGCCTTCCTCTACATTTCTCTCTTTTATATTTATATTTCATTCGGTTCGATTTTCGTTACGTTCAGAACAATTCAAGCAAATGCCTAATTTTCTGTCAATCTCATCAGCCGCGATTGAGCGCAAATTTGGGAGTAGCATAACAGATTTTCTTTTTTTTTCCTTCACATTTCGCAAAAATAACATAAACTATTTTTAGACACAACAGAATATCATGTGATTCTTTTAAAATGCTTTTTTCTGCTTTCTCATTCGCGTAAAAGAAAATCGCCTATGACACAACAACATTTTTTTCAGTTCCATGCACGCTCTACATCACGTATACACGATAGATTTATGTCTTCAAGCGAAAAAGAAAAAATGGAAAAATTAAAACAGCATTCCAACATTTCCTGCGTTGTTATTCACCGCAAACTAGCTGCTGTATATTTGATATAAACAATGCACATAAATCGCACTCGATTAAACGATTATAAAATATGTATTTTTGTGCAAAGATAAAACGATTAAAATGCTAAAAATACGAGAAAAAAGGAAAATTAAAATGCGATGCGTTAACTTTAAAAAACGCATACCCCATCGATTTAAATATTTACAAGAGAGAGAAAAACACACAAAAATGTGAAGTTTATCATATAACAGAGATTGTAATCCTTGATAGAAGAAGATTGTGTATTTTTAGTTGAATCTGTGCATTTTTGATATTCAAAACGTCTGCGTTATTTTTCCAACTTTGGTTGCTGATGTGCTCAATGCAAAAAAAAAAATCTGTGTTTTTTTCGCTTTTGACATTTTTATTGGTAAAATGTGATGCAGTCAGGTTCATCTTCAATTGTGTCGGCGGCTGACGTGCCGTCTATCTTCAAACAGATCCCACAATGACAATCTCTCCCAATTTTTTTTTATTATCCTCCCAAAACCCATTGTCTAGTATTGAAAGCAAAACCAGATGACACAGCTCTTTTGGGTGTACAACCACCTTCACCGCTATCAACTGCATCATCGTCGCCGTCAATGACACACAATTCAATCAATAATTGCTCAGGAGAGACCACGACCACCACCGTCACCACCAACAAATATGCCACAAACAACTTAAATGACATTACTGTAAGCATTCAGATCCGACTTCGTTCGAGTTATCCATCGCAAAAACATCTTAACTTTAACTTTATTCTTCTTATTCTTTTTATTCGTTTTTCGCCACATCGAAACTTAAAGCCACTCGACGACACAACAACTCCGTTATTCGGTGAAATATTCGACGAACTCATTTTGCCCGACGGTTATTGCACATTACTTTCCGATGACATAAATCCCATCGATTCACAGTCAAATAAAATGAATATCATCGATCCGTTCATTAGTTATCGCGATGAAATGTGCGAAACAGGCGACATTTCATCACCGAGCATTTTATCGCCCGATAATTTATCAAAGGTATGCACAGTGTGCGAAATAAAAATTGTTATAGGCTGAAAAGACGACAAGCAACCACTCACACCAACTCGGTCTCTTGCTTTTGTTTGTTTCATCGACCGTAGAGTATGTGCTCCAAACATTTAACTTGAAAATTTTCATCAAAATAGAGCTTAGATCGGATTACGTTGATAAAGCACACACAAGCGCTTGAGACGAGTGTGTTGATTGGTGGCGGCTTGACGTCTGACTTTATTAACGAAAAAAAAACAACCGACTTATTTTATGTTCCTTTTTGTTAATTTGTGTACCCGAACACACACATATGGAAAAAACTAAACAGAGCCCTGCAGGAAGCAGCAGTATACCATCATTATGCAGCCCGAATTCGATGAGCCACAGCGATGAATTTGCATTTATGTCGACAAGCTTGGATAATACTGATATCGATTTGTCAATGCGTGCACCATATATTCCGATGAATGAAAATGACGATTTGCCATTGCTCACCGAAGACTTAATGTGGAGCGCATTTTCCGATGAATTAAGTTTGCACAAAGATATAAAAGAAGCGAGTGCGCTTCAACAGCAACAGCAGCAGCAACAACAACAACAAACACTGCATTTGCAATCAACGCTTCCATCACAACAATTTGGGCCCGATACCGTTGAACAAATGATTATTGACGGTGCAATCAGTGAAAGTGTTAAAGGTACACCAAATGCTAGCGAACAACGTTTAATGTTTGGCACGGCCAGTAATTTGGCCTCATATTTGGCAAGCAAATACGTTGAAAATGACACCGGCAATGATGAATGCAATAAACAAACGATTGCTCATGAAATTTTAAAAATGGAACAACATTCACCGAATTATGAATGCGGTTCAAATAGCAATAGCACTGCCATTGACGATAATTCGATTAAAACGCAACAAATGCTTGCGAAAAGTTTAAACGACGATAGCATACGATCTCTGACACCAAACCAGATCGCTGGCGAACCATCGAAAATGGAAGTTATTGATGCCATCACCGACGGCTGTATCACCACATACACCATACAAATGTTTGACAGCGATGCCTTTACGAAAAATGGTTAGTTTATTTTTTACAGTGTTTTTTCTCTTTTGGTGCAAGACATCGTGTTATTTGTCCCGTCTTGAAATTGATCGAATGGAAACGATCATTTCCAAATGGGGTTGTGGTTTTTTCTTTGAGTCAAAATTTTATATTTAATTTTCTATCCAATTCAGGCACAAATCCAACCACATTGTCGAATTGGACAATGAACGATTTGCTTCAAATGAATGTCAACGAAACAAAAACATCGGTTGCATCGCCCGCAAAACGTGGTTCGCTTCGATCACGAACACAAAACCAACAACAATCGATGACCGAAACGGCCAGTAATATTTCTCAATTGAGTCACAAGCGTCCATCACCATTGGATTCAAGCATAAATAAGCGATTGAAGAGCAATTCAACGGTGTCAACGTTCAACCAAACCAACTCGAACCGATCGACCATTCAACAGCCATCACTTTCATTACAGAATCAAGAGACAGTACAACAGCAACAACAGAAATCACCACATTTGCTGCAACATTTGATGGCACCATCACCCGATCGTCTACGCAAATATACTGGGCCGGCCAATAAACAAACGGCCAACGATAAAATCGACACACAATGGAAATGCAATGTTGGATACGATGAGCCAAAAGCTCAATCGTCCGATTCGGTTCTTAAGAATTTACTTGTAAGTGGTTGCGATATTAGTGCCGGTTATGTGTGTCATGTTCCGGTGCGTTTACGAAAATTGGCAAAAGCCTAAAAATCACCCACCGTACAATGATCACGCGTCATCGTATCTGTAGTTGTTTAAGATTCTGTTTTCGATCTATATTACATTTGGAGCATTCGATGTGCGAACCACACACATACCCACTCACATAAACATACATACACCACGCATAGAGCAAAATGTTCTTTCTCTCTCATATCCTGTCTATGTCACTCTTTTATGTTTTATATATATATTATATATTCGTTGCGCGAATTAATTTATTGAAATAATATAATGGATAAGCATAAGCCATACATTCGCAAAGCGAGAACACGCCACAATTGTGATTTTGTGCGTGCACACGAAAGTTCTTTTATTAATAGAAAACAAACAAGAAAAAAACAATTGTATAAAAAGAAAATCGTTTAATATTAGTTGATATATTATTACATAACGAAATTGCATATAGATTTTTTAAGTAAAAAATATTAGAATAAACACTATATTTTTTGTTTCGGTTTCATCCATTTTTTTAGTCGAGAGAAATGTCATGTGAAACGATGCTGCATAGCATCAAACACGTTTTGAATGAAAATAATGTTTTAATTTCTCTTAAATATTTTTTTTTGTCAAACGAACTGCTAATTTTATAATACCATAAAACTAATCCATAGAACTTTAGTTTAGTGTACATTTAATTTGAAATAAAAACAAACGATTGATGATAGTGATGATGATAATATTGGAAACGAGAAGCGCATCGAAACAACGTAAAACGAATACCAACCGAGGCAAATTGAATTTGCCATATAAATTTTGTTTGTGTCAGATTTACATGAATCAACATCCACCAAAATTTCATTTTGTTTTTGCTGTGATAGAAAAAAAAGGAACGATTTTTACATAAACAAAATAAAACCATTTGAGAATAGAAAAGAACGAAAAAAATAAGCATCAAGTTAATTGTAGAAAATAAAAAAAAAACGCTGAACAAGAAATAACAAAAACAAACAAATGTGTTTAATGTGTTAAAATTGCGGTTTGCAGTGCCAGGACGGAGTGTGTTTTCATAAAAGCACATCTTGAAATGATCTAACGCGAAAAAATGAGTATAATAATGTAAATTGGTGGCGTGTGCAAGTGCAATGAGCGCCGATGGTACAAAACAAGAAAAAAAAGTTTTTTCAAACGAAAAAAAAATACATAAAATATTTCATGCGCTAGTTCGTGTTTAGTCGAATTCAAAACGAAACCAATTAGCAAATGATACAAAGATAAATCATAAGCTATTAGAAATTAAAACTTACTAGAATCATTTGTAGTTGTCATTTTCTTGAATCGAGACTAAATCTTCTTGTACATAAAAAAAAAACAATAATTTTTTTTTTCGTTTAAAATTCGAAGGCACCTTTCAATGTTACAAAAAAAAATATGAGTATTGAATCCAAGCGATTGAAAATAGGATAAAAAGCAGACAATTTGAGGCGTGTTTTGTTACGATTTGTTGAACATTTGATTTTGAAAGATTTACTTAGGTACGATTGTTTTGGATCCGTTTTTAAGACCATATCATTTGCTGCTGAAACAGCATATTGAATTCGTTTTTTTTATTTCTTTGTTGAAATAATCAACATAAATGTCAATTAGAATTGCCCACGATTTCAGTTGCACCATCCACAGGCTCAAACGAAATATGGCTTTATTAATATACACAAACACACAAGCAACTATTGTTGTAGTTTAACTTTTTTTATTTCGCTTTAATTTTTTTTTATGTTGAAATTCTATTGGAATTTTGGCCTTAGTTGTGTTTAGTGGCTCCAAATTTATGTGGAAATAAGAACCGCTCACAAGTAATTAGTGTGAAAGTTCGTGAAAATTGATGCCATAGATGGAAGCGAATGAATAAAATACCCAATTTGATTAACGAATTTAATGTTCTTGGGCAATGGCATTTTAACGAATGAAACACGACTAAATAATACTAGTTTTAACTTCATGAAGAAAAAAAATGTTCATTTTGTCATTGAATAATAGTAATAATATTGAAGTATGAAAGTAGCAAGGATTGTTCCTCTGAGAAGGTGAAATGGTAAGGAGGCAAACGTGTAGGAGATGAGCGCACTTTTTTTTGGTTAACGACATTTTCCTCCTCAATTGAAGAGGAGGATGGTCCCTTTAAGTCGAAGAGGAGGACGATCTCCGCCAGCGCTGTTCTTCCCATCATTTACCTCCTCAGCATTCCCACTCCTCCGAGGAACCATCCCTGGGAAAAAAAAGTTCACCAAAATTCACCTAATAGACTGATCAAAAGACATGTGTATTTGCAATTTGAAAAGTGATAAATCTATTGAGCTGAAAGAATAATGAAAGGCAATCAGTCAATTGATTGGTTAAATGCAACTGTAAATATATGCGATGAATTAATCCCGTAATGGTTAAGTGCTTTTGAATGTATACATTTTTATGGGCTGCAAATGAAAATAGCTGGACATAATAAGAGTAATAATGACAAATAAACTTAAAAAAAGAACCCTTTCGGAACCAAAACCAGTTTGGATCAATTTTTGGAGTATATATACCTTTTTCTGAACGATATTCTTTAATGAAATAATTAAACCCCAACGAAAATATCATCACAAACTCAGAAAACAATGAGACAGTCTCAAGTACAAAAACACAAAAGAACACCGACGAAACACAGTTATACGCGAATATATACCCGTATATCATATATCATGACTTCCATGTTAAACCTTGAATGATTTAAAACCGTTTTGACATTTGTTAATTAACTACAAATTAATCTTCACACAACATTTTATATACGCATATGATCAAAGACAAGGTAATTGCATCTTCATTCGAATCCTCTCGCTCGCTCTTTCTCGCTCCGGTCTAAACGCCGATCTATTTAGATGGACATTTATCAAAACAAATTGCACAATTTATAAACAAATATTAATTACATTTTGTAGAAAGAGAGACGAGAGAGTGTGGGAGAGTTTAGATGCAAAGTCGTTATGTGCATGTGCATTTGAATATGGAAAAGCATTGATTCCAAATACAAAACACATGAATCAACTATATAAAATATATTTTTGCTGTAGCTCAATATAGCATGAACCCGATCTATAATGGCCGATAATGGGATTTTCTAATTAATTAAAATGCATAGATAAATTGAAAAAGATAACCAATTGTGTGTGTGAATGCGCGAGCGGACGGTTGTTCGCTCATCAGATCTCGCACTACAAAGAAATACATTGAGCAAATGAGAGAAATATTTACATTTAATGCATAACTAAATTAATTATCTCGTTCACGTTAACATTGACAGCACAGAGAACACAAACACACACATTTAATGAATAACGTAATTTATAACCCAATATTCTAATCGTAATACCAAGACGTAGACGAATCGTTTTCTGTTTTTTTTCCCCAAAAAAGTATAGTGTGTCATTTTATTAAATAAAAGAATGTTTTAAATAAACCTAATAAAATAACTAAAACAAATGCATAAAAAAAAGATATCCGAAATTTAGTAAAAAAAAAGTAATACTCAGCCACAGATTGCTTTAGAGAATCGATTTAAACAATGAAATACATATAAACAAAATATTGTTGTCAATTTAAATAAAATGATTAAAAAATACACAATATCTTCCCATATATTAAATATCTAAATAAATAAATCAATTATCAACATTTATATGCAAAAATTCACACAGCTTCCACAACAAGTCAAGATTGCGAAGATTTATTATATATATTGTTGAAACACACACACAAAAACTCACACACATTTTCAAGTTATATTACTCGATTACGATTATATAAAATCAATATTATGATATAGCTAAAATGATGGAGATACAGTTCTAGAGAAAATAACAAAACACAAATATTATATCGATATATGAACGAATAAAATGGAATCAGTACAGATTTTGAGCCATTCAGATCAAACTACCTCAAATGTTGTTTTAAAATAGACAAATTCTTATAATACGGTTTCTAGTGGAATTTTTTTTATTAAAACTGTTGAACATTTTTCTTTTGTGGTTACAACATGACATTCATGGAAATGTCAATTTTCTTGCTAGAAAAAAGAAACATCACATCAGCTACCTCAGCACAGAACACAACAACGAAAGTGATTACATTAATTTTATTATGAAAAGATAATGATAATAATGTTGATGGAATAACGAAAGAACAAAAAAAATAATAGAAAAACCATAGTCTATTCATAGAGCCAAACGCAAAAGAAAAACGTTATATTTACGATAAACCGAACCGAGAGGATAAAGATATTTACATTTTCATATACATACAAAGACAAACACAAAACTGTTAAACATATTTACATAGTAAGAAAGGCAAGCAAAGAAAGAGACACAACAAAAAATATATATGGTCGGAAAAAGATGAAGAGACGATAAGCAATGAGAGATGTTTATTTTTGAATCCAAAATGAAACACTGGTTTCTTGTGCAAAAAAAAAAACGGTGAATGTTGCCAAATAAAAAAAAAATATCAACAACAGTGCAAAATGTCGAATAAATGAAGTCAGTACAAACAATGGAGAAGAAGAGAAAAAAATAGACAAAGTTGTCAGTTGTTTCTAATAGCACTTCTTTTTTATTATTGACACAAATTGAAATGGAGAAAGACACACCGAAAACGATTTCTATTTATTTTAATTCAACACAAATAGAATCATATGAAGAAAAATGCGTGCAAGCATGCTATCGCGCACGACAACACACAATCCAGACCATACAATAGTTTCGGTTTTTCGCCGACAAACATTTCAATCGAATCATTCACAAAATATTCAATAACACACATACCGAAAGTGGAACGAAACGATATGCAAATGCAATACTATAACAATAAAAACAAAAATTTATAGTATATTTCGATGTTTAGTGAGTAAGTTACATATATTCACATAACAGTTCATGTACTATTCGAACCAAAAAAAAGGAAACAAAAAAAAGTTCTATGATTTACGCGAAAATTTAGTGTCATCATTTGAAACAGTCAAAATAAAATTACTTTTAAAATAAATACAAATTAATCATCACGTCTTACAACAAATTGTGTTTCATTTTCCTTATTTTCTTTCTGTTCGGCATTTCTTTCACTTGATATATTTTGATAATTGTGAAAAGGTAAGAGTGTCTCCTGGAGTATAGCACATTGCGAAGGAATGTTTCATTCGCTTTATTAAATTTGGGGAAGCTTTTCCACCTGGAATTTCATTTGGGGCGGATTTTGGTCGACAAATTAAGCCAATTGTGAACCCCTCAGTGAATTATGGCAGTCGAGTAATTTCACCATATTTCTCTCTTAATTGATTTCTTCATAACTTTACTACACGTAATCTTTGGAATAAAGCATTCGTTCGTTTGTAAAAACATTTTCCTTGCGGTCGGCTCGCCCACCAAAATCTATGTTCGATACTTTTCTTTTGACTTTATGCTGTGATCTGTCTATCTCGGACGGAAATTGAACTTAAATATTTTATGTGTAAAAGAAATTCATTTTTCTTTTTTGGCTTCTTATCATGGCACCCGAAAAAAATCGCGTCGCATACATTTTTCTCACGATTCATCAAAATAAAATCAAAGTTTGTTTGACTTTGATATAACAACGCGTTCGTAGATGATTTTATGCCTTCATCATATCGGAAATAAAAATCCTTATCATTTACTACCTCAATAAATTCTTGATTGCGTCAGCACATTTTCCATATAAAAAAATATATCCCCTATTAAATGAACATCAAATACTATACATTTCGTGCATTACTCCATCGCCAAATTTGAAGGGTTTTTAGTCGATTTTTTCGTACTGCGAAGAATAAAAACCTTTCAAAAGCTTAAATACAAGCTTTGACATCAAATTTCCACACTGAAAAAAGCTGTGAAAGCGTGGAAATTTGCTAGCTACATTTCAAACTCCAACATCAAGTACGTTCAAGTGAAAGATTTCCATGGAATATAAGGAAAATTAAATATCAATATTAGAGATAAACACACATTTTCACAAATGAAATATTATTAGTATAAAAAAAAAAAAAAGAAAATTAATTAAGCTGAATTAGAATTTAAGCTTAGGATAAAAATGCTCCCCGAAAATCGAAAACAGAATCTTACTCATATTCTTAAGTTATCAATGTTGTTTAATTTATTTTATGTTCAATTTTTCCATGACATAAACTAATATTGTTTTTTGTGCGATTTTCGAATAGTGTACCATGGCATCACAACCAGAAGTTCCAATCAGTACGATTGATTTGTTGAAAGAGAATCGTAAATTGGACTTGGGACAGAGTAATTTCGAATATGGACCAAAGGTGAATGACACAAATGGAATGGATTCCGATGAATATGGGCTAGTTGACGATATATTCCTTGTGAACGAATTGAATAGAAGCTTCCCCAACTCAAATGGTGACACATCACCATTCACTTCATCCGATGATGATTTGGTTGGGCTCATGAAGTCGTCCATTGACGAGAAGAAACCGTTTGAAAGTTTTGAAAAACAGATCACCATCACTGTTCCACAGCCACCTCCACTTTCGTCGGACTCTTTAATGGTCGGAGGATGCCTCTTTGATGGTAAATACTTACCTTTTTTTCCTTTCAAAGTAGTTTTTTCTTCTTTTTTTAATAAATTTTTTGATCTTTTTATTGATTTCAAAAACAGGTATTACCGATCAAACAAACATTTTGCCTGCATCGTTGATTTCGCCAATGGGAACAGAGAACAGTAGCTATGATTTTAATATGTTCGACCGGACTGATATGGGTGCCGATAGTTTGTTGGATGTTTGGGCTGATGAAATGAAATAATGGGCACAAACCACCTAATTGCGTCTAGAACAAACAAACCTGGACAATTTCGCTTTATTTTTTAATCTATAATGCAATTTGATTTAAAAAAACATGTAATTTTTTTTACTCTTTGTATTCATTTTAAGAAGAAATTTTCATAATTTTTTGGCAATAATTTGCATATATTTATATTTTTGGATTCATTCAGATGTTATTTTTTTGGTCAATTTTCCTTTTTTCGAAAGCACAAATTGTAAGCATATTTTCCAAATCATTGAATCGCACAGATTGAAGATTCTTGCAAATATGTAGATTCATAAATGTATACAGCTGTTAAATTTATAACTCAAAATAATAAATTAGTGTCATTTTAATGTTAACACATTTGGAAAGGAAAAACATGTTTTCGGGAACACTAAATTGTAATTTGGGAAATGGACACGTAGATTTTAAATAGTTTTAATCACGTAGATTAATGATGGTCGAACTCTGGCCACGACCATGAGATACAGGCATTGTAGCAAATAATCTTAACATTTTTGTTTTTCTTTGTGAGAATCAATTTCATTTCTGTGTTAAGATTTACATACACATATATGTTAATCTGTACCATATAATTTGTATCATTTTATAAGCGTCGCACATTTTTGTGAGCATATGACGAAAGCCGATTGAAAAAAAAAAAACACTTCATATCTTGCTAGAATTAATCTTCCACTCACCGATGCAGAGAGCAAACTTTTGCGACGTTTTTGTATTTTTGAAGTTTTTTTTCTTATACATCGTTCAGACGCAATCAAACATCCAACATTCAACAAAAAATCAAATTCTTTATGACACTTTTAATTTTAGTCATAACAATGAAATACTTTATTCATATGTGAATTTTTTTATCGATAACTATATATCGATACATAATTTTTTTTTGAATATTTAGCATAATAAATGTAGAATATATCTTTTGATTGGTATTTGAACTTGTTTCTTTTTCATTGCAACTTATTTTGAAGCCAAAGGGTAAATTCAACTTGATGGACTTGATAACAAGGTAAACTGATCCAAAGCATCTTTTAGTTTTATTGAAATATTTCTTTATATTACGCATTTATGAAGGCAGCAATCTAAAAAAACCGTAAGTAATAAAAACCACTGAAATCTTAAAACAAATCTTCAAATAATATCAGAATGTAAAATTGCTCTTTGTGAGTTTAAAATAGAGTAAACGCGTCACTGTCTCAATTTGTACGTCACAGTTAGTTTGGAGTTGAAAAGTAAGAATTTTTATAAAATTAGCGTTATTGTTTGAAAATAAGAATAAAATATTTTTTGTTACATAAAAGAATTGATAAGCAAAGTTCATTTCCAAAGTTCATGCCGTCAACTCTTGTTATTGTTATTGCGCAAACTGGCATTTTATTTTAAGGTATTCTATTCTTATCTTAAGAAGTTAGAATAAACAGACTAAATTTAAATTTTATTGGTGTGATTGAGTTGCGCATAATTTTTTTTTAAGATTTGCTATAGTATAAAAGAGAAATCACACACCTTGGCCAAAATCAGTTTATTTCCCAACATCGGAAGCAAAAGAAACTTATCAACAGCAAATATTTTTGAAGATTTCATCAAAGTAAGTTTAAGTAATATTTTAACCACATTTTCAAAGAAAATAATCGCAACATAGTGATCTTTTGTCGCAAGAAATTTTTGCTAGAATCCCAACGGACCTATTTCTATCTTTTCTATTTTTCAGCCCAAAAGCTTAAAATGAAAAACCTTATCGCAACTGCATTTTTTATAATCGTTGTCATCGCTTTCTCGTCGGGTGAAAGTCAACCAGATGCTTCGCCACAGTTGGAATTACAACCAGAACTAAAAACAGAGCAAAAAAATACCCTTGCTTCAGCCGATGCCAATCCACAAGGAGATAAGACCGAAACTGATGCAGAGCGTGCAAAACGATTCATTTTTTGTGCATTAGGCAAATAAAACGGTGGTTTGTGATCACAATAAAATTATATTCAATTAATATGGCGTCAAAATTTAAAAGGAGCAAAGTGTGGGCAAATAAAACAATTCGATACATTTTTTCAATATATACAAAATTAACCTCAATTAACGTATATTCACGCCTTCCAGACTAATCATTTGTACAAAGTTACAAAATATAAAGCCGCTATTAAGTTACTAGCCACTTTTATTCTATGAATCTCAAAGAAGACAAATAATCTTAAAATATAAATAAAAATAACCTCATTGAAACTCAAAAATTTAATTTTTGCTCAAGATTGCATATTTTTAGGGCACAGATTGATTGAAGGTATACTGTAATGCTTGAATATTGTTTTTATCTAGTATATAATATGCCGTCGTTAAAACTCTAAGTCCGAAAATTCGGGCATGGCATAAAATTTACTGTATTCATCAAAGTTGAGGGGATACCTTGAGAACTATTGTTCTTCATGATAATGGTTTGTATGAAAAACGAAGAAAACTGACGAAAATTATTGAAATTGGATGCTATAAGACTCTGTTGCATCTTTTAAAAGAATCTCGAGCTCGAATGTTATTTGTTTTTGATAATCTTGAGAACTTTAAATGAGAGCATCGTCTTAAAAAGATTATATGCGACAATTATTCAATCGTCAATCATTTTTTATTGCTTTTCTCAACTGATATGAATATCGAACTGCCGAGTATAATGCCAGAGGTTAAAAAATAAACCTTTACGCTCTAAAAGAAGATTAGAAAGTAGCTTACGCTTCTCGAAAGATAGTATGTAAACAAAATGTGACACAAATATTACTTTTTTGCACGAAAAAAAAATCGCAAGTTTATCTAAAGTACATAATGTCAACGGTGAAAGTTTAATTCAAGTCCATACTTAATGTTAAAAGTCTTTAGCTCCGATCGATAGATGTCGCTGTAGCTCATCTGTCAAAATGTGTAAACGTCAATTGGAAAACATCTGATTTGGTTTCGCTTAGAAAATAGTGAACTTTACATACGTATGTGGCACAAAATCAAAATAATAAACACCAAAACCCCAAAATTTCAGAACAAACGAACAAAATTTGTGAAGTGACTGCTGATTTCTTGTGAAAAATAAAGCGGGGAGACTAAATGGATGAACAACTGGAAAAATATCGAACAAAAGTACGGCGTAAAGAATTTTTCCAAAAAATCAAGCAGCGTTTAATCAGTATGGTGACATTTTCGCCAGCGACAAATCCCAAAAAAGATGAAACTATCGAAATACCAGACGTAAGTTATGAACTGAAAATGTTTGTTTAAATTCACTGCAATTGATTTATGATTTAATTCAAAAAATTGAAGGAACAATTGGAAGAAGAGGACTTGCTGGCCAGCGAACCTGGCGAGATGTCCGATTATGTGTCATCAGATGACGAAGACGATGGTGGATGTGAAAATGAGAATAATCAAAACAAGGATGAATCTAAAATGAAATACATCACTTATGGGTTGTGGTTTTGTTTTTGGGCAACATGCTGGATGATTGCTATCGAACTGAAATTCGGAATTGTTTACTTACTATTCTCAGCATTGTTTGGCATTTATTTCAATACACGAACGGAACCAAAGCGCAAGGGTGAAATCAGTGCATACAGTGTATTCAATGCGAATTGCGAAAGTATCAAAGGCACATTAAAGGCTGAACAACTCGAACGAGAAATGATTTATGGTCCATTAGCAGCGGCAACACATTAAATTTTATGCATCAACAAATACAAACTATACGATGATAAGAGTATTTTAGAGTATTTTAAGTAAATGAAGACTTTTGATTTATAAACAAATCAATTTATAATGCAATAGTTTAAGGTAGTAAAATTAAGTACAAGAAAAGTTCTCATCAGTGCTGTGCCCATTGGGAGTAAAGTTAGCCTTTTTTTCAAATTAGAATGTAAAAAGCGTTGAAGAAGAAACAAAGTAGTTTACTGAAATCAGAAATTGCATAGTTTTAAGTGGTTACGTTTCCGATGGTGATGCGGAAATGGTGGTGTAAAAGTTTAACAAATATTTTCTTAACAAATGTTATGGCTAAACATAAGTAAGTTCAATGCTCAACTTCGTAATTAGTTTAAAAAGTTTGTACTTACTGTATAGCTGAATTTTTGCGAAATCGATGTGTTGCATGAAATATGTGGCGCGTTCAACGTTCATAAATAGACGGTGCGATAGATCCAAGTAATATGTGAACACAAAATGAAGAATAGAATTTTAATTCAATTTGAGCACTTGCTTTATTTATTCCATTAGTTTGGTTCTCTCAGTTTGTTATATTTTATACACAATTTTCATACATAGTAGAGTTTTAATATAGATTTACGTCATGTATCTGTGGGCTCGTTCTGACTAAGTTATACATGTTTTTTTTTGGTAATTTCTCTTAATTTTTAGATATATTTATAATACATAGCACATAATCAATTTGAAATTTTTGTTTAATTAAACTTTTAACACACGTTTTTTTTTAGTAATTCAATCGATTATACATAAGAATGGAACATATTTTGTGTTTATTTAACTGTATATGGCGGCAGGAGGCGAACAAAAATGTTTCACACACGCGTGCGAATAAAACAACAATTGCATAATAATCATAATAAATCCAATAAAATTGTTAGTACATTTTTTAGAGTGTATGTTTAACAAATAAATTTCTGGCATATATTTTATGACGTTTTTATCCCTCATTATTACAATTATTCCACAATTTGTGACCTTTTTCAATCTGGTTGGACTGACGCGATATAACGTTGGCCCTTCGCCATGTTAATTTACAAATCGAATTTTCTATCCCGCTTCAATTTTTTCTCTCTCTCGCAAGCGAGACGCTGACGAATTAATTTTACAAAGTATTATACAATTACCAGTTTTTTTGGCGTCTAATTTCTATTCATTTAAATTTTGTTTACATTGAAACATGAAAAATACCCTTTTTTCTCGATTTCGATCTTATTACATTACAATGATATATATTCTTTTGTTTAAATTTTAAGTTGTTTGTGTCGTTTTCTCTGTTTTTTGTTTGTTCACCTAAAATTCTTATATTCAAAATGTTCTTTGGTATTGAACAATGGCATATAAATTGGTTTCTTCCTTTCTACATTCACCTACAATTTCTTTTTTTTTTACCAGCAGTGTTTCGCTTCTAATAAAGTTAAGGCAAGTAATTTTCCTTTCATTTTGTGTTTTGTTTGTTTTGAGTGAGTGTGTTCCGGTGCTAAAAATCTAACATTAAAAACCAAACGACCTCTTTTAGCCATACGGATCGAAAATGTCGGCTATTCGTAGTTCACCTCACATTCATTATGTTTTGTTTGTATGTTTACCAGTTGGAATTTGGAATGGTCTTTTCTGCGCCGTATCTCATTCTTTGCTTCTATGTTTCTCTCTGAGTTTGTATATAAATATGTGTGCCTGTGTTTAAACATCCGGACCTCATTTTCCACAGCTTTAGAATTTAATCATCTATGGTATCGTAAGCATTTTGTTGATACAAAAAGCGACAATAGTAACAATTACAACCGATTAGCAAACGAATCGGATTCAAGCGAATGCTTCGTTCACTAAACGATGCTGTTGACGATGACACAGTGTTAATTGTATGCTAGCATTTTGGTATAAATGAATTGCGGCTTGGCAATAAGCATAGAATACTTAACGCCATTAGCATGTGCCAGGCCGAATGAACTATAAAGTAATTGTGACGAGTTTGTAAAAATGCGTAACAAATTAAACCGCACATCACCAAAACCATGCCGATCGGCAAAAAGATCGATAAATAACGTCGGGCTGGAAAACATTTATGCGTACGTTTGCATCGATAGCCCCAACTAATCGATATTAGACAAATGCCAGTCAGTGCTGGTGCCAAAAATACCCACAAGCTTTGCTTATTCAATTCCGTACCAAATGCAATTACAACAGCACCCACCATATGTAAAATCGATACAAATGTTTGACGAATATTTGCCATTGCAACGAGTGTGACAAAAATTGCAAGGAGGCCACAATAGAAATCGGCAAATTGTAATACGCCAATTTTCACCAAACAAAAGCTATACTCATCCTCACCGGAATCGCAAGCATGATAAAATATCGAAAAGAACATTGCAAAAAAGTAAATAATGCCTTCGGTAAAGTATTTACGACGTACGGCTATATAAATGCTCGGTATAAATAGTAAATTACTGAGTGTGAGCAACAGAAGTGCAAGTAAAATGGAGAAGCTTGACGGTACTTGACTGTCTTCAGTGCAATCCCAACCACGATAGCCTTTCATACAGAGACACGTTGAAAATACAAATCCACCCGACATATAATGATAACAACGACCATAACGACCACAACGGCCAGCAACACACGGACTCGATGAAATGGTAAAAACTGCACTTGCATTGCACGAATCACTGTCGGCCTCCACTGATTGTTCGGTTGCGTAACGATGGTGCATCTCAAATTTGCGGGCCATCTCTTTGTGTTTGGTCGTACATTTTGAATCCATTAGACATTCTTTCACTTTAAGCGTATCCGATTCACTCAATTCACTCAAGCACCGTGCATCGCCTATACATTTCTGATAAAAATCAGTTCGATTGGCACATGCACATGGTGTACGAACGTTATGTAAATGATCAACATACTTTTTGATAAAATCTTTAACGCTGTCAATGATCGTGATGCGACTGGTTTGTGCACCATGACAAAATAAACCGAGCGTTACATACCATTGGCCACCTTCAGGAAATGGAACATGGATTAGGCCGGTGCTTGTGTCTTCATTTGTATTGTTCATAATGCTTGCTGCGGGAAACACATGCTGTCCGTATACACATTGATTTGGCCACTTTGGTATGGCAGCCGCATTCAAGTGCATGCATATGATTATTGTTTGATTACTACCTGAACCATTATTATCGATGCCATCATCATTTTCATCCGAATGATTTAATTCAAAATTCATGGCATCGATGCCATTGTTGGGTTTACCATCGTCTAATGCATGGCCGGGTGCATCATTCAAAGCGTCATCGTTAATGTGAACGAGCTTCTCAGCAACAGCAACATCGCTTGTGATTCGACTGCTTCGGGTTTTAACAATCGATGCAGCCGATGCGGCTGCAGCTAATGTTGCATCATGTAAATTATCTTTCATAACAACGGCAAAGCTTAGTGTACCCCCAATGTCAAAAACATTGCCAACATCAAAACGAAAACCAGTTGTAATGCCGGCCGTTAAATTGATAAAAGTTGGAATCGTTCCATTGTCATCCGGCAATAAATCGTAGTCGAACATAAAGAATTCGCGATAAGTTTGCCGAAGCAATGTATGATAATTAATTTTCCTCGGTTTAGCTGGTATCTTGACGTTTGGCTTGAAATCGATGTCCTTTTCATCTGCAGTTACTGCAGCAGTAGCAGCAAAATCATCATCATCATCATTACTATCATTGATACCGTCCGCATCCGTAGCAATGCTATTGGCATCTGTAGTAGCGGTAGTGGTGGTGGTGGTGGTGGTGGTTGGCTGGTTTAAATGTTGGTCGACCAATGATGATGAATTGGAATTTGATGTGTTGACCGTACGATTTACATTCTCTGACCCTGTACTGCCGTCCCTATTTATATTACTACTCCGATTGCTACTGCTATCGTCTTTATTACTGTTTAAATTTGCCGTTGATTTATTTTCATTCGGTCCATTTTCCGATGGTTCCACAACAGCAATCGGCATTTCATATATAAATTGCAAACCTATGCTAAAATTTACAAAAATATTATTTTCCATAAACTGTTGTCGCTTCTCTTGTCGGGCCTTTGATTTGAAAGCTTTAATGTTGTTATTGCTACTAATACTACTACTGCTGCTGTCGTTGGTGCTGCTGCTGTTAAATGTTGTTGTTGTGGCGTTTGTTGTATTGATGGCGCTGTCATTGTTGCGATTCACAAAACCGATTTCAATATAATGCCATACATTTTGGTGTGGATAAAATTCGATTTGATATTCGCTGGTTTTATTTGCATAAATGACAGCACTGTGAATAAAATGTTTTGGTGTTGGTAATGCGTTTGCCTGCACATGAATTACAATCGCCTGACATTGGTTACAAGCTCGCATTATGTTGAAGTGTAATCCAACCACATCCACATAACGTGGCACAAAAAATTTATAAATTATCGATGGTGCCGGGTTTGAGGTCTTTGATTTATCTGCATTTGCATTGGTTGTGTTGCTGCCAACCGCCGAACTACTGATTGAAGCCGAACTATTGCTGAAGTTACTGCTGCTTGAGCTGGTGTTGCTGCTGCTGCTGCTACGCTGGTTGCTCTTATTATGGTTGTTGGCATAACGGTCGTTAGCGTATCCATAAAGTGTATTATTATACATTAATCCGTTGTCAGCATTTAGAATGATCGGTTTAACACTAACCACAGACATTTCAGACAATAGTAATGTCTCACATGAAGCGGCAAGGCCTATGATTCCAAGTGAAGGTGGACACCATGTTGGAAAAGGGAAGGAAACGAGAAAAAAAAACAAGAATCAAATATTTGAATTAGTTCACACAAACATAAATTACATTCGAATGGCTTAGCATCTAAAACTATGAACCGAATGAACAAACGAAAAAAATAACATTCTGTGATAATGCGTATTTATTGCCAAAGTTGGTAAATGCACTAATTGAACCTCGAACAAAACTTTTCCAATCGAAACGACGACAACAAACGAAGAAGAAAAAAACAACCCAAGAATTATGACCATTTCTCTTTCACTTAATTAAAGTGCCTATTCAACTCACATAATAATAATAATAATGTTTCAACGCACATATTAGTGATAGAAAGTGGCGGTGGTGGTGGTGGTGGTGACAACAACAATAGGTTTTTCGGTTAACGCTCGATGAGTGCGAGTTATTCAATCTCACAGGAGCTTTTGGAGAGTGGCAGAGAGAGAGATGGGGGTCACTTGACGCATATATGACATTCGTGCTTTAATTCCCCCTTTCATTATTTCTGATGACACATTTTGAAAAGCCATTAATTAAGACTCGATGGCAACATATATTTATTAATGGTATTGAGGAAAATAAGTATGGTTTACATGTAATGAATGTGATGTGTAAAAATGAATAAACCGTGATTTCAATGGAAAAATGACGAAATATAAAAGAAAAATGAATTGAATTCAATGAAGAGAAAAAAAAGAACCAGAATAAAAGAGTCATTACAAATGAAAAGAATATTTGAACTGAACTTTGTTCATACGAGAAATTCGAGACTATAATATAATTAACGAATTGTATTCCATTTCATTTAGAATGCCATTGATTCAGGCATTGATTGCACAAATGTAATCAGTATCAAATGCATTGGACCGTATTAATTCGTATCAAGTAATTTTATTGCACCAAATTGTTATTGAATATTTGTGTAGCATATAACAAACGATTGCCGAAGTTTTGAATTTAGAGCACCGAGTGCATGTGTACAGACAGAGCGAGATAGAGGGAATAAAAATTCAATATTAAAAAACTACAGTCGCATGTGATAAAACGGTGACACATGCATTTGCACTCTAAATATATGACATTTGATGCAAGCATAAAAATTGATCCCATCATTGCAACAATGGCTGATATATTAATATTGCATTCTATTCAATGCACCGAGCGACATGTGTGTGTGTATGTGTTGTGTATGCACACTGATATAATATGTGACACATGTGAAATAAATCGAATACCGTTATCTGGCCAGAACAAACGGTCAACGTTGCATTCATTGCAATTTTGTTGGGGATTTTCATCAGAGTCAAAGCGCAAATATGAACATTGTTTCATTTTCCAAAACATTCATTGGACGACAAAACATTTTTGAGGTACATTAATAGCCAAGCTAGTCATAAATGTGAACGAAATGATATATGTGTACTCTGTACAGTGTAACATTCCATCTGGTCACACAGACATGCCCAAAGAGACTATTCAAACATAGAAGCTAGAGCGAGGGCGGAATGAAGAGAATGAGAGAGAGCGGGCGAATTTGTTTGCAAAATAACAGGTTATATGCTAGGGGGTGGACACATGGAATATTACTTGAGATATTCACCGAAATTGAAGGTATTCTTGGTATTCTTGGTATTCTCAGTTTTAGACGAAATGTCAATGCATTCAGCAACGTCTCACAATGTGCATATATGAATATTATCTTCCAAATATTAAAAAAACTTTTTCAACGCTATGAAGTGTATTATTTCAATTGGTTTAATAAATGCAAAAACAATTTTGATAAAAATGACAGAAAGAAAACAGAAAAAATTAAAATAAATTTCGAAATGGTGAATGTTAAAACGAAATGGAAAAAAACTTGAAATCTTTATTACCGATATCAATTTGACATTTGGTAATCACGGTATTCACATTTTTAGTACAAGTAATCTTCAAATAAGTAAGTAACTGTCGTATTTGAAAATAGATAGGTATTATGACAATTCATTGGTATTCATTCATTCTCTATTGTGTCTACCCCCTAGGTTATATGTATCTTGAGTTCAATAGATTAAACATTTACTTTGCAGTGTCAGGACATCGCATATTGGATTTATTGTATGTTCCGTTTGTGATATCCGATGTCGGTATATTTCTTGTTGCCGATGCATTTTCTATGTGTAGAGTATGTGTGTGGTTGGAATATATGATTTTCGATTTATTTGCATATGCATCGAATAGATCAAACATCGGTTGATGCGGAAAAAATAAAGAAACATCGTCGACAAAGGCAACATTGAATGGGACAGGTAAAGATAGTAGATAATTAGTGAAAGAAAATACAGTAGGAACGTTAATTATAATACGATGAATTCATTTTCCTCACATGCTTAGCAAACACATCTAATAAACACTTCTTTACAATAGGAGACTTACAACGTTTATATTTATCGCATCGTAGCGTTGCTTTCATGATTAAATTTCCCTGTCTTTTATGCTATTGTACGTCTTTATTTTCGGTCTAAAGTCGATTATAGCCATATAAGATATATAACAATGAGCATGTGAGCGGTGCTCAAGCACACAAGCATTCATGGCTTAACGCATATTTTCGTTATTCCATTATAATGTGAGTGTCGTCACAAAGAATGTGTGTGTGTATGATAAAATGGCATTCAAATACATGTCATGGGTGAACTCAATTATGTTTACGTGTTTTAAATGATTATGGCTTAACGTTTAGAATGGTGCGAACAATATTATTTGTTATGAACATAAAATAACCTTTAATCAGGCTTTTTGTTTGGCATAGATGGCAGTTCATTTTTAGAACATACACAAGTTATGTCTTAAGATCTTCATTTCAGTTTTGCATTGAGCGCATATCCATTGAAATCGATGGGAAAGCTTAAGCCACACACTAGAGAACGAACAAAATGGGGAAAATCATCCGTTTATTGTTTGCCTTTCATAAATACGATTCAACGATTGTCACACGCAACATGGAACGACGAAGCGTACACAATTTACACAAAAAAGGTGTAAATACCGACATATTCAATGGATATTCGAGGCATGAGGGTTTGGCAAAACGGTAATGAATGAAATAATTTTCGAGATTCAAACCGAAACGGGTGCGACGCAATTGATATTGTCTAAAGATAACCAAAAGCTGTACGGTTCGCTATTACTCAAGCGACATGCCAACACCATTATTTCGACTTTTGTTTAACACGCGCGTGTGTGTCTGTGTGTGCTTTGGGTGGTGCAAATGCGACACATTCATCGAAAAGGCACGATAATTAAAAGTGAAAAGCGAGAAAATCTCATTTCAAAATTGAATGCGACGATACGCAGGTATCGGATGAAAATCATTCACGGATTTATGCTTTTGTGATTTGGGCAAATTAACGAAGCGAAAGAGAGAAAAAAATACGGTAATTTCTGCTCGGGAGGGGTGTTTTGCTTACCTTGTTGCTCAATTCGATCGTTACTTGGATCTGTCCATGAAATGAACGCCACCGCATACCAATCACCTGTATTCGGGCCATCGATGCTCATCCTTCTCATCGAACCATCAGACTTGAATTGCAAATTGTATATCTCGAATCTGAAAGACCAACAAATTGACAAATGAACAATTTTAATTTTAAATTTACAACATTCATTTCGATAGCACTAACAAGGCACGAATACTTGTGTGTTTTGTGGCGTGTAAATTACTCAAATTAAACAAAAATAGAATAAAATAAAATGGTAATTAATTTGAACTTTAATTAAAAATATGAAATGCCATAACGGTTGTCAAAATGAATGTTTTTCGTTGTGGACTAAATAAAATTGCCTCAAATTATGGTACACTTAATTAAATATGGTGATAGGTTAAGTGAAAAAAAAAGTGGTGGCAAAAGTGAGAAGGGACACGCAAGAAGCACTCACATAAGCTCGTTTATATTCGGGGTGTTGGCCGATTTATTAAATTGAGTGCAAAGTGTACTGAGCACATGAATATTAAATGCAATTAATAACTATCAATTCCATTAAAATGGAAAATCTAGGTGCGTGAACACATACTGTTCCCAGCAGATACGCACGCAGACAAAATACTGTTACTGTCTGTAAACATTACTAAAGCTTAATGAAGCAACTGACCGGCATTAAGTTGATTTAAAATTATCAATGCATGTTAATAATTAGCCAGCTACTCTGTACATGGTGCGTGAGTGTGTTTCTCGATTAAATGCGTTCAGCACACTGACGATGGCTTGGAATATTCGATCCCAATTTAGATAAAATTAGATACATTTTCCATTTTCATTGAATATAATTTTTTTTCCTTTCATACATTTTCTGTATATATCGAGTTTAATTGGTTTTACCCATTTTCCGCGATTCATACTCTCTCTCTCTCTCTCTCTCTCTCTCTCTCTCTCTTTTGTTTCAGCCTGATGAGGAAGCCATTTTCACACTCATAAAATAATTGTTCAAAGCATGTTTATTCATTGCGACAACAAGAGGAAACAAAGGTCACTTTGCTTTTATTCCACAATTTTCCGTTCCAACATGATGTTAAACGGATTTTTGCTACGTAATGCAAATGTACACTCGCATAAAGCATTCAATGGAACGGTAATTGACTTGAAATAATTTAATTTGTCTTATAGCTAGATAAAAATTATCGCCGACAGCTTGTCGCTTATTTTCTTTGTTTATTTCTTGTTTTATAATTGTTGTTGTTATTTTTCTCGCTGTGTTTATTCAGTGTCTTTTATTCCTGACTTTTCCTTATCGTACCATTTCTTGGAACCGTTTACGTACATCGTAAATTTACCAAAAAAATACCAATTTCACTCTTAATTTCTTTCTCCACGGAGAATCGTTGCCAAGAGAATGTACAGACAAATTCTATGAAAAAGCGAACACATAAATTTTGGAAACACCATCCAAATGGCCGAATAAGGAAAACAGAGAGAGGTAGCGAGAAAGTGAGAGAGACAAAAAAGAAATACGATGGCCATTCCAATAGAAGCCGCCCAATGGCGCCAATAAAAGTGTACAATTGAACTGAAATGAATTGAGAAAATATGTTAATCATTTTTTCGCTCCCTTTATAAGTGGCTGATAGGCTTCGGAATGGCGGATGTGGAGAATAAAAAAGACGGACTAAATGCCAACAACAAAATGGTCCATCAATAATGCTTTGCCAGCGAAAACGATACGGCATACACAGCAACATACACACACAAAAGCAAACTGAAAATCACTTTTAATTGAATTCCATTTCGGCCGAACGAACATTGTAGCGATAAAGTTTTCCAATTAAATGGTGGCTGATTTTGTTTTCATGCAAATTGTGGCCCACCCCAAATTCATTATTGCTCTGTTGCTTTTCGATATGGCACACTGAAAAATATAAGCTTGGTTGCTTCGTTCACCCATTCGCTGTTTGTTGTCGCGGGAAAAATTTGACGAAGGAGTAACACTCATTCCCAATGTACATCAGCCGTCGAACTTACATCCCATCTCATTGAAACTTGTCGGCAAAGCGATAATTTTGATTCATTCCGTTAATTTTGTTTGGCAAACAATTGATATCAATCTCACTCAGTGTGGCGCTCCGAAATACACCACTTTGCCAAGCATACATATACAATATTCATCGACATTTATGCGGCCGATTACAGCACGCTGCTGTTTATTGAAAATTTATCCTCACACAACACACAATACGCATATACACAATGTTTAACGGTTTGTGCATATTAAAATCGGATATTCTCTTTGCAAAAAGAACTTTATCGACGATTAATTTTTAGTTTTCAAAGCTGAACGAAACATTGAAAAGGCTTGAAAGACTAATTACACTTTGTGTATTTATCACCCGTGTTGAAGAGTTTATCCGGTGATTTTCAGCAATATTTGAATGCTAAACTTTTCGGCGTAAAGATTCGGTTCATAGAACATCGTCAAAGCAAACGCAAAAACCAATACAGTTTTAGATATTGATTTTGCTAAACTTTTGTATTTTCGAGCATTCAATTATTCCAGTTGGCAATGCACTTTTTAATGAATGGCTTCTACCTAGGAACACAGCACATACATATACACAGAGAATCATTCACCGCCCACCCTTTCGTAGTCACATCGACACAATTGAACACATAGAAAAGTATGTAATTAAAACGTACGCTAATAAAACAAACAAGAAATTTCAATTAGCTCACCTTTGATTTGCATGTAAAAAATGTTTGGGAAAAGTTATGTTCTCCGGACTAATTACAGGATAGCTACCAGCCTTTAGGTGCAATGTCACATCTCTCGGCTTGCACTGACGCTCTTCGAAATCCGAATCGAAACGAATAACAAATCGAAAAAGTGGCGAAAAAGGAAGAGAGAGAGAAAAAAACAGTTAACAATTAATAATTGATTTTCGAATTTTTGAGATTTTTAGCGTGAGAATTGAAATGGATCTTTTCTGCTTACGGAAGGCACTTTTTGTTTCCTCATATGCTTTAAAGTTGAAATAAGCGGTTCGAGTATCGCTCGGCACAACGAAATGCAATATGCTCACATCCTTGTATGCGGTGTATTTAAGTAGAGTGTTTGATGGTAGTCGAACTAAAGGAATTGGTTCTGCATCCGATTCGCCATGAATTTGCATGCACAGTTCGCACAGCACAATCACAATAAATATCCATTTGATGGATTTTTTCATTGTTTTATCACAATTATCGATCGGCATTTTTACATTTGCATATGGAAAAAGTTTCGCGAATAATTCGAATAAATCGATCAAAAATGGCTGGTATTTAACGGTCTCCGTTATCTCGTTTTTTTTTCTCTCAAAAGCTCGCACTTAGTGGCATTACGCGAATATTGTTTTAAAAAACTAAAATCACTTTTTTGACTGTGTAATCTGTGCAATGAATTTAGTTGACGATGGTTTGATGCTACTTCATTTTTGGGCACTATGACTGACACTGGAATCTCTGTAAAGATATAAAACAAATGGATCACGTTAGTTCAAATGTATTGTCATTTATTGACGATAATCAATTTAGCCTAGTTTTTTTATAAATAATAATTTTACGGCTCGTAAAAATTTATAGCTATGAATAACGTGTTGCAACACGTATAGCTATTAAATTTTGGTACTATTTTCGGCGACTTTGTTTACGGATCAATTTTTTACTTGGTTATCAACTCACAAATAGCCAAAATAAATGAATTAATAATAAGTGATAAAAATACGTCCAGCGTTTAATACGGTCATCGAACATTTGAATTACAAATCTCATTCTAACGATAATATGTCAAAGGTTGCAACTTTTTTTGTTCACAGCGGTATATACTAGATTTTGATTCTAAACAGTTTGAACGGGTGTGTTAATGATACACTTTCCGCTGATGCAAACACACTCACAATGAATCCATCGAATTGACTTACCCAACGATCACAATTGATACACACAAACCGTATTAATATAATCATTTTACTGCGTTCGCTTCCTAACCGTTTAAACTATTCGCTAAAATTAAACAAATGAAGACTTTCAAATTGTTCTGAACAAAGTACGAGAATATATTATTCATTTGTCGAATTCAAAGTTAGAACATGTCGAAGAACAACAAATTCATTTCGTCTAAATTCAATGCAAACAAAACTCACTGAGATTCACTCTCTCTTTTATTCTATTCTTCATACAGTCTCTCTCTCTCTCTCTAGTCCCGTCAGTTAGTAAACACACAAAATCCAAAAATTGATCAAATGCACTTTATTAATTAAATCCACCCGGAGAAGAGTCAATTTCGTTCGCAAACTTGAATCGTTATAAATTGTTTCAATTCATTTCAACACAGTTTTCACTCTGTTGCGCTCTTTCTATCTTTATCTCTCTCTTTCTCTTTTGTTAGTAACAAAGATGTGAGCATGACATGCCGAGAGCGTTCTCGCGAATGAGCCAAAATTCAGACAAGAGAGGACGTGAGTGGGGGACGCGCTATTGCACACATACATATTGAAACAACTCAATTCAATTAGTGCAATTTATTTTCGGGTTCGGGTTTTTAAGTGAAAAACTTCTCTGGCAAATATTCATTTGTGTCTGTCGCGCTTGAATGTGATGCTTCAGCATACACACACATTTATCTACTACAATGACGACCAAAATCGAAACATAGTCGAAAAGCATTCGTTACTCGACCGCCCTAATGAGTCTTATCAACATAATTTTCGAAACTGCTGCTACTCTCAATCACTCAGTCGCCGAACGTTTACTAAATCGCTGTGCACCGCAAAAAGCCGATTCATGTTTAATTTTATCAAATCAAAACATTTGGCACACATTCCAATATCAATTCATTGCTATGCTTGTTATATATATAATATATAAATTTTTAATCGTGACGATTCTTCGACGACAGCAGTAGAAGCAAGAAACAGTATAATTCAATTCTTGTTAAATTTTCTATTCATAGTACATCACTGTTCGGCTTTTAATGAAAAAAATTGTGTTGGATTAAAAAAAATTCAAAATCATACATCGACTCACTGCACTGGCAATAATAACACTGAATTCCATAAGGTAATATGATTTTAGCCGTCGCCGTCCATTCCGTATCAAAAATGACGTCAATCAAAGCGATAAAACAATCAAAGTGCTTCGCACGTACGTTGAACGTATACTGTTACTGCACCCGTTATTTTCACATGTAACTTATATCATTTTATTCAATATCAACAACAATAAGTTATGTGTGCGGCAACGCTTTTTCATGCTTGAATTCGTTTTTGATAAAATTTAACAATAAAATACAAAAGAGATTCTGATTCAATAAACTAATTATTATCTTTTATGAACACATTTAAATCGGATTTCCTCGAATTCGAATAATCGAAATGCGTCACTATAAATTCTTTTGTTATCGCACTGATTGAATTTGTTTGAAGAAATATTGACCGTTCATGGATATTTTTTATTGTTATGGATTTAATATTAAAATTGTTGACGGGAATTCTAGCATTTTTCACATAAACTCTATTATAATATCTCAAATGACTTCGAGTCTAAAATGAGTCATATTGATTGAATCCACCATTTTTTAGTCTTGCCGTATAATCAACACAATATTAATATGACTTTTGATTGAGCTGACATGATGCCATTTCTCAGAAGACTAAAATTTGATTACATAATAATAATGAAAAATGTAGAGCAAAAAAACATGAGTCTTCTTAATGAAATAATAAATCTTCTAGATCACTATGATTCCGGTTTTCGTTGGATGTCAATCTTTCTCGAAATTTATACTGGTTTTAACGAAACAAAATTGAGTCATTATTTTTCAAGTTTTAATATCTCGATTGCATTCAAAGAACACAATGCTCCAATTTATTTATCAACAGAACACGAAATTCAAGCAACGAATATTTTTATGGTTTTGCTGTCTCGACCATTTAATAGTTTACCATTTATGAAAATATTATATCATTCAAAAGTATAGGTTATTTACCAAACGCCGCAGGTAATATGGATCTGAATGTTAAATGAGATTTTTTTTACCGGTTCTTGTTCACTTTGCATTGTCCAACAAAATATGATGGAAATTATCAAAAACTTTGTATCTAAATATGTGATTTTGAATTTTTCGAATTACACAATTTGTAATATGTTTATGAATGAAAACAACCATTTCTAACACGAAAAAACGAGGTAAAAACTAAGAATTTAGCATAAAATCGAAAAATGTAATCCATTTTTTTTTTGTATTTTTAGTTCAATGTTGAAATATCACAATATAACCAAAATAGATTTATATAGAATTATAATAGAATTGGATACTGCAAAAAAATGTTATCTCCCAAAAATTGGATTCAAAATTATTTATGTATGAGAATCACAATTTTGATTTTCATGAGATCATGCTTTCAAATCACAGTCAAACATTATGTCAACTTGAATTTAAGCCAATTTCAAACTAAATCAATCAATTTGGTATAGTGCATGAATAATGCGCCAATAAATTGAGGAACACTGATTGGAAATTAGCACAAATAAATTATATTACACTTGGAAGTTCATTGACTTGCTAGATACAGGTATAATCAATAAAATGTTGTTCGCAAATTTACTTGACAGTCTACCTAAGTTAAATAAAATCGCATATTTCCATTAAAAGTTGAAATGAGAGAAAAACATATCTCATTTCAAAATCAGGTTAAAAACTTATAAAAAACATAGCATATAATGGCATCGTCATGATCAGAAATATGCTACAGTGATGAAATATGGATTGTGCATAAATGACTTTTTTTCTCTTTGAATGACTTCATCGTACACAGTTCATATATGCTGAAGAATAAATCGGAATATTTCGAGAAAAAAGCTAAAAAAAATCATCGGATTTAGGTTCTTGAAAAATATAAGTAAAAAGTGTCCTCAAAGAAGCATATCTTGATCTCCGTTCACCTCTGTGCGAAGGTAAAACGGAATCATTTATAAGCACGTGAAACGATAAAAAATTGTTTTTTCCCTCTTCTGCATTCTTATGCCTTTAAAAGGAAGAAGAAGAAGAAAAATAACAACAACAACATGACACGAATTTGCCATTCATTCATTCAAAAGACACAAGACACTTTTATAGTGTTTAATTTTAAACACACTTTAATGACAAGTTGTATATGCTATTTGTTTGGTTTGTGGCTTGAATTGTTCAATAGCTTGGGATAATAAGTCAGTGTTTTTGCGTGGTATGCACGGTGTGTTTATGTGATGTCGAGAAGCATTTTTATTTATGTAAATTGAGTCAAACGATTGGACTGCGCATCTGCTGTTGTATCGTGATATGAGAAGACATACGAACGACAGAATGTCGGATAGGCGCTGATTAGATGCTATAGTCAAGGTTATTGTTGTCGATTCATTAAATTATGGGTTTGTTTATGTCTTCTATGTTCAAGAGAGAATAACGACTACAGAATAGTTTTGTTGATGTCAACATATTACAGGGTGTTTCAAAAATTCAATTCAAAATATCCGGTTCAAACAAATCGATGGTATGATATAACTGTATTTGCCCCGAATTTCAACAGAAAACAAAAATTCAATCAAAGTTGGCCAAAAAAAAAAGTTGAATAAATAAACACACTCACACCCATTGCACATATTTATGCGACAATCACAATGCATGCACAGTGTTTTTACTTTTTCTTTGGGGCCTCTTTTGTATCGGTGCTATTTACAGTGTTTATTAAAAGAAATAAAATGAAATACCGAGAAGAATGACGGTCGATGAGACCTCATCGCTGTTGAACTCTTCAAGGACAGATCAACTTTCTTTTTTCGCGTAAATGCGTGAGAATGGCACTTAAGACATTTATATTTAACAAACAACCGTAGAACGGAGAAGTGCCGAACAAAAAAACCAACTTTAGATTCACTTTTCTTATGATGAAATTCAATTTTGAACACAATGAATGTTGGTTTATCTTTGTCATGCTGAGCTCCCACGAATATTTTGCTTTGAGATCATCGAGATATGATGAAATTCACAGAGTCAACGAGTCGTGATACTGAAAATACATGAACAAACTTGTAAATTCTACCATGTATTCAACATTTTTTGATCGATGTCGTTCGACATCGACAGTTATGGGCAAGTATTTGATTGGTATTCAATTAGCATTTGCTTGTATACATGTTGCACCTAGTTGCTTTTTTCATTAGATTTTTTTTTTTTTGCATAAACAATGGAATAATATTCTCCCAATATTTAAATGAAATCATTCAATACAAAAAGAAAAACAAATCAAAGTGTACACAGAGAGCCACAGCTAAATGCAGGTGTGTATTGTGCCGTGTGTATTCAACGCTGTTCGTGTCGTACGAAAGACTTTCATGAACTCAAGTCAAGTGATCTGTTGAGCATACGCCTCTATGTGTTCGTGTAAATGCTTGCATATGTCTGCCCGTACACGTAATGCTTTTTACACACAAACATGCGAAGCGATGTCTTAGCGTAACCGTGTGTTTATATCATGTCGATATTGCATGTATTATGCTGAAAGTATGGGCACACCAATACAACGAAAGCAAAAGCGATCGCATACACGATCAATGTAAAATTGTGGTCAGTATTCATCGGAGTGCCGTGTCGACATAATGTGAAACGATCGATTCGCGCTGATCGAGCTCAATTTGATGTTATTTTCTGTTTATTTTATTTTTGTTGCTGCTTTTATTGATTTTGAATTTTTACGTGCGACGTATTTTGTGTGCGTATAAAAAAGAGTGATTCATCGATTGTGCACAGTCAAAAAAATCGATCGAAAAAATTAAATGTGCTGAAGAGAATAAGAAGTGATTTTGTGACACAACAATAAAATTCGATTGGTTTTTTTTTTATTTATTTTCAAAAAATGTACGAGGATGAGTTGAACCATTTCTATTGTTTGTTTGAGTCATTTTCACTGAATACAATATTGAGAGAGTTTTATGTAGCAAATTCTATACTATTGTGCAATTGTGTATCGATGATACTTTTTTTTTTGGTTTGAGTGAATGTGTTAATCTATTTGAATCGTAATTGTGCCATACATAACATAAAATGTAAATTTTTTTGTTAATACCGAACGATAAACGAATAAGAGAGAGAAAGAGAAAAAAACTCGAATAAATAGATTGAAAATTGCTGCAGTGGCATAAGTACAATAGAGAGATAAACAACCAGAAGCTTAGCAATACAGCAAAATAGAAGAGAAAAACAGCAACAACAATACCAAAATGTGCTCTATCTTGAACAAATGAACAACGACGAACAATGAAATGAAAAAAAAATGAGCAGAGAATCCATGAGCGAAACGGAGATGAGCACGGAAATCTAGCTCGCTATCGTGCTAACTTTGGCCATTCAGCAAATAGCGCAGCAGATTGGAATCATTGCGTTGCGCTCGGCGGACGTGAAAACATATTTCTTTCACTCTGTTCAGTGATTACCAATTGCCATTCCATGTCTCTCTGTGTGTGTGTGGTGTATGTGCTTGTGTTTGTATGTGAAAGCTATAACACATTGACTCAAAAACAGCACCAGCAACAACAACAGCACTCGAACGAAAAAAAAAAATACCCAAAACAATTAAACTAAAGCATTCGCGTGAAATATGCATTACAATTTGAGAAAAAGCAATTTCAAATAGCCATACCAAAACAAAAACATATTTTTCAAACACGTACGCCGCAACATTTTCTATTTCAAAAAATTATTTATTTGGATTTCGGTGTGTGTCTGTGTATGTCTCTGTTGCTTTGACAATGTTGTCGTTGTTGTTGGTCGGTGCTGGTCGCTGTGCTATTCACAGAGTGCAGTATGAATGCACATTTTCTCAATGAGCATATAGCAACAGCAGCAAATAATCGGCCGAAAAAAAGAGTCGAGAACTCGAACACTTTGGTCTGGAAACTTGCCATTGTACCGTCTCGCGCGCAAGAGACGATGTATAGTGTGCATTTGTATTTGTCGGATCTGCGGATGAGTGAGGTTTTCAAATGATTCGAACCGAAGTCTTTTGTTATTAAATTTCTATTTTTTTTTTCGTGTGTGTCTTTCTTGCTGGTCGTTCGTTCAAAATTTTGAACTGTACATATCGTGCTGTATGCGGTACTTGGTTTGCTTTTGTTTTCGATTTTGGTTAAGTCAAATGTTAGCGAACTGTAAACGTGCCCATACGTTCTGTATGAGTGTTTGGAGTGTGGTCAGTCTTTTTTTACGTCGTGGCGGCTTTTTTTATTCTTCAGCATCGGTATGGGTTATCGTGACTTTGTACATTTTTGAGCGTATAACGGTCGACGGTTTGCGCGCAAGCACGCACTGTACGGAGCGAGCATACACACGCCACAAAATGAATGGTCTGCTAATGAAATGAGTGTCGCGTATGGTAAACGATTTTCAGCTCTCAGCCACACTAATCATTTATTCAAATGAATATATATCAGCGATATATTTTGTGATGTATCGCTTCAATGGTCAATAATTCAAATTTATTTCGCATTCAACGAAAATATATCTCGTTTTTATTGAGATCGTTCGCATTGGAGTTTTTTTTGTCATAGATTTATCAAATGCCAAGCATTCAATGGCTATGATTTGATTTAATTTGCTTTCAACAATAAGAGAAATGGCATTCTCAAACAGACAATGTTAGCCATGGGTTATATTTTTCAACACTCAATTCGATTTTATGCTATCATGATTTCGTTCCAGTTTAGTAAATTCTTTATATTGGAAAAAAATGCTTGTGCAATACATTTCACCGCCGCTGAAATGTCGATAAACCATTCGCCATTTATTCTGGGTTTTTCCCATTGTTGTTCGGTTTCATGATTAAATTTGATGAGCTATTCACTGGACGATCCAAGCAGATGGACGAGATAATGAAATGTGAAATAAAACAAAACAAAAAACAGTGTTTATTGTCAACATATGCAAATAAGCAATTGAGTCAATGTACGAATTTTCCCATTGCGTTATTTTTACAAAAAATCGTGGGTTTTTGGTTGAAAAATTCAAATCATGTCACATGAACTATAGTAATTCATTCAAGAAGTTCAACAAATAATGAACCAAAACAAACATACATTTTCATTTTATGTTCTGTTCTGTTTCTGTTCGGCTTCTATACATTTAATTAGCAAATGAAAAGCAGCTGGTTGATTTGAATGTTCTCAACATGTTAATAATTTTTTTTTTGCCAACATTTACTCGCGTGCAATTACACATTCGACATTCCAAAAAATGTAAATACATATTTAATGGCAACTGCAGCGCAACACACAAACGACAAACAAAACAAAATGACAAACAAGCAAACGACGAATTGAGCGACGAGAAAAAAAAAACATTTACAATTTCGGTCTCCATTGTCATTGTGTCGTTTATTTGTGCGGTGCTCTGTTTCCTCTCGTTTGCAGAAAAATACATTTTTTATTCATGTAAATGCCGTTGCCATCTCATTGTGCATGAACTTTACAAGTGAAAATAAATAAATATGGAAAAGAGATAGGCAGTGGCAATTGAGGTTCATGTTTTGATTGAACATTTCAAAAACGATTAAAATCTCAAACCTTTTGTGGCCAAACAAATAAAATGAAAATTAACAGTCTTTAATAATAAGTTTATCAGTTCCTAAAAATGAACGCAAATACTTTCACCGTCACGAGCAAGTCATTTACGAAAAAAAAAAAACCGGCAGCAATGAGTTCCGGATGTGTACGATCAAAACACACAGCAAAGCCATAAAAGTATTTTGAAAACAAAAACGATAATGCATAATAGAAAATCGCATTTCGTTTACGACGTGATATCTCCGCCACATCATATTCTAATTAAAGTCATGTAAAATATTGCGAATTGCGAGACGATGATGTACGGTCGGCAACTGATGATGATACGTGATCAGTAGTCGTTATCGAATATCATAAATCATTTGTTACTTGAAATCAATTGTTCCATTCATAATCGGCACAAAGAAAAACCAACCGGTCACACTGTCCGTGCATTGAATAGCGATGGTGGATTTTAAATGCAATCGTGTGTACTGTATTATATGTGCTATAAAGAAAATCGATCATGTGTTAAATTCTCTTGATTCCATAAAAACGCTGTGATGTCTTCATACATGTACTCTGTTGAGTGACTCTTTTTGTTTCATGAATGTAATGAACATAAACTAAACCTTTTTATCGGCTTAATCATAAAAAAAATGGTATGAGAATCAAGCGGACGATCGAGAGCGAGAGAGAGAGAGAGAGAATGAGAGAAGAAGGCGACGTTTTTGTTAGCATTGGAATGTATTTCCTTACTTGGAAGCTCGTCATTTGGTCGAGCCATTGCCAGATATATTCAAGTCGCAACAAGTTTGCATTTCGTTTCGTATCGAGGCGAGCATTTATCGTTGATTGTGATACAATGTTTTAACGAAACGTTGTTTTTAACAGAGCAAATGTACAATGTTTTCAATCACGAATACGTATTTAAACGTTTTCATGCAAAGTAGAAAATATCAAGAATATCTAATTGAAAGCATACAAGAAGTGATAAACACGAACGGACATAAAACGAAACGAAATGAAATTAAATGAAAAGAGAAATTGTTGAAGACTGCATTTTTCAGTTGTTGTTGCTGTTACCATTGCTGTTATTATGAAAAAACTGTTCGCTTGTAGTTTCGTCCAATCATCTTTTGCACAAGCCAAGAGCACACCATTGTCGAGCACCGATTTCTATATATACCAGTTTAAGTGAAGCCATTCTATTTTCGAATCGTTTCTCTTCGATGCGATAAGCATCCAAATGAATTAAATCATTTCGATGTGACTTTTAAGCGTAGTAACATTCATCTTAAACTGCTTTCAACATTACAATTTCTTCAACACTCTGATACTCAGATAACCATCAAATCATAAGATCGTGAAATTTGTTTGTTTGCGGTGCAAATGAATCAAATTGATATAAATTTTTGTGTGGAAATTAATTGAATGTTTTAATGTGACACATTTTATTTGTTGTTTATTTCATTGCAGGCACAAATTTTATGGATAAATCAATTTTATGCGCAGAGTATTATAGCCCACTGCAAACGAGAGCAAGAGAGAAAAAAATAGAAGAAGAAAAATGATATTTTTGGAATAATAAAAGCAAATGGGAGCCAACGCCAATTTGGGTAAAACGCCAGCGATTGTGACTATGAAAAACATAATGATGTGTTCATTCGTTGGGTTTATTTAGTGTTGTCATTGCCTAGACGCGTGCTAAGTGAATAAAAAAAATTACATACACATAAAAACCATACACCACCAACGAATACATAACAACAACAGAAAAATTACCGAAAAAAAAAAGTGTGCCAGAAAAATGCGATGCAATTTTTATGAATATTTTTATTTGACACACAACTAGCAGCAATAACGTGCAAAGTGGAGAAAGAAAAAGCCCCGAAGAACAAATATAAAATAATAAATGCGCTTTTACGAAAAAAAAATATATACGCAGCGTAGAGCGCAGTGGTCATATGTGTGTATATATGGTTTGTGTTTTTAATAATTTCCATTGGGCATAAGTGCGACGAAAAAAAAAAACAGAAGTTTGTATTGTGATTGTGTTTTGGAAACAACAGTGAAATAAAGGCACCGAACAGACGACACAAATAAACAAAATCAAAACAAAACAACGACGACAAAACCGAAAGAAGCGTAGAGAGAGAGAGAGAGAGACGACGCCAAGAAATTCATCTACATTATTAAATAGCATTAAGTGCGGCTACAAGTTACTAGGAACCACCGAATGGCAGAGCCATACCAAAACAAAACGACACACCAAAAAAAAAATTCAATTGATGTAAATTACGTGAGCGAACTAAATCGCGTCTCCATACGCCCAGCAAGCGAGCCATTTATATGGTGAAATTGTGTTCAAGTGAAAGCGAAGAACGAATTTCGTAAAAAGTGTAATATATCGTGAAAAGACGAAAGTAAAAAAAAAAATCATATTAACAAGAAACATATTATCGTGTGTATGTATGTGAATATGTTGTGTAGTGTATGAGCAGCAGTGAATTATTTATTGTTGGCCGTTAACGTATGTAAATGAATAAATGTTCGTCTCGTAATTCTAATTGCGTTCGTGCATATGCGTGTGTGTATGTTTGCGTTGTTGGCATTTGTGACATATGCATTCGTCAAATTTATACGTACATGCTTTCGCCACCGACATTTTGGAATGTTGCAAAATCAGAAAAGTGACTTCAATTTCATATGAATAAATTGTCTTTCGACTCGTGTTCATTGCAAAGCAATTAGTTCGGATAAGACGGATTACTCGACTTTCATATTCGCATACATATCTTAAATAATATAAGTGAATAGGAATAGAGGGAGAGAGCGAGAGAGAGAATGTGAAAGAAGGAGAACGAGGAATAAATAAATGAACGAACCCATTCTTCAATTTTAAAACACAAACACCAACAACAATATGTTTCACTTCACATCAAAATCAATGCATTTCCACTTGACTACGTCATGGATGCACACAATTGTGATATTAATTGTAGTTTTCATTTTAAACACTGGTAAGTTGGCAATTGAGTTTTCTTGAAATAATATACATAACGCACAACACAACAATGTCATTTGCAATTGTGCGAACACAATTCAAAATTTAAAATGATGATGATGATGATGGGAAACAAAACTGCAGTTATACATTTGAAACAAGTGAGATAAAGTAAGAGCGACACATAGACAGATAGAGCGGGAGCGAGAGAGATGGGGCGGAGAAAGGAACTTCATTTTAATGGAGGCTTTTCCAACTTGTTGTTAGTTGATAAAGTCTTAGGAGATGGAATATAGAACATTAACTCGCAAGCCAGTCGGTAAGTGTGTGCATGAGAGGAAAACACTTCCATCCATTGTCACATCCATACACAATAACCAAGTGCTTGGATATCTCGTTTGTTGTTGTTTTTGTTGTTTTTTCTCATCTTCGTCGTCATCATAACGACAAAAACAGTTTCAACATCGACACAATGACTTTTCATAATGACCATTCTAGAATGCGAATCGCATATGCAAAGAAACAGAGTAAAATATCGAGCGAGAGAATCATTTAAAATACAATCATTTGTCATTATTTGTTTAATGTGCTTTTTCTCGATTCACCGAGATAGAGAGAAAAGTTTTGAGCCCCAGCATTTTTATGGTTATTTGCAAAAAATGCAAATCGTCCGGACCATAATAATTGAACGAACACGTTCGTTCAGTTTGGTATTCATTTGAATTAACGCACATTACGCTCTTCCTATGCGTATATCTCTGTACAAAATCGTATCACTGCCACCATAAAAAGATAAAGCCTAAAGCCTTTAGTAAGTCATTTGTAAGTCTATATCCAAAGCCAGAAGCTTCTCAACGTCACAGTTTCGAATTGACAGACGAATGAGCGAAAAAAGTAAGTGTGTATGGTGCGGTGCGTACACCGAAAAGTTAAGACATCGATTTAATCTCTGTTAGAAAATTAGGTCCTAATCAATTCGGATTTCTGGCGTAGTTTCAGGATATTTGACTAATTTCGATGCGAAACAGATAAGCGAAACGGCCCACTAATTACTCGGCAACTCTATAAAACACAGAATTCACGCAATAAATTGAATTTAAGATCTGTCTGTTTAACAAAACTTCGATTAACTTCGGTGGATTGGATTGGGATCGAAACAACATCGTAACAACCACACAGCGGTTGTCTATGTCGCTGTGATTTTGTTTTTTTTTATGTTTGGGTGCTCGCCCGAATCTCATTACTTTTCGATGCAAAACATTATGGGTCGAACATAATTCCGATAATTAATGAAACAACAAAAGAATTTTTAATTCCGAAAAATTTCAAACGCATGTTTTATCATGAACTTGGCTCGCGGGCAACGCAAATAACAAATTGGCTGCTCATTTGTTACCAATTTGAGCATGTTATGTGCGCGCACACCAAGTCAGCGGGAATAAGGTCATCAATCTTTCGGCTTTTATGCGCACACATTTTTCCATGAAACAACGACAAAATTATTTCGAAATAAATTCTAACCGAAAAATTATATATTATCTGTTGTGATTAATCGATTTCAGACACAAAGTTTGCGTTTAATTGAGGCTGACGGGGTGGGAGGGGAGTGGAAATACAGACAAAATATTTGTTTGCGTTTTATTTCTCAATATCCGGATTATAAAATGTGCCAAACGGATTTCGTTATGCTAGCACAGTGCCGCCAAAGCTAATGAATTAATTGAGCAGCTGGTTGAATAATTACGATAATCGCCGTCTCATAAAATGTTTTTTTCAAAATCTTCAAAGAATGTTTGGATGCTGTTCTGTTTATTCAGTGCTCGATTTTCTTGGGTTTTTCTCTCAATAGCTAATACCGGTTTTTCATCCAATAAACGACTTAGCGGTCGCATAGCTAACATGAAGTGTTTTAAATATTAAATTTATAAAACATATTTCCGTGATTAAACTTTGGTTTAAAGTGATTTTTGAGAGAGATTGAGCATGTATTTGTTTGCAATAATTATCATTCGCAATAAAATGAAGCCGAACGGGAAAACAAATGTAATTTCTACTGAATTTATAATTGCAAAAGAGTTTATACGATAAATGAGCACGTTGATTGTGTATTGCGATTGTGCTTGATCCCCTTCCATATAATTGAACGAATACAGGCAAAAAGCATTGAGCCGAACGCGCTTTCAATGTGGTTCAATAATTAAAAAGGTGATAAAATTGTTGTGTACTTGCCTCCAGAGTCAAAGTCTAAACACATTGTGAAAGCCATGAATATCAACAAAGCACATTCACTGCTCTTTCTCTCCACATCTCGCTCTTCTCACCTCTTCAGCTCTAGCTGACAGTGAAAAGCCAAGCAAAAAGAAAAACGAACAAAAATCAGGTTTTAATGGTGTCCGTCAACTTTTTTTCTTTCCACTCTCCACTATTAAAAAAAATATAATATCGAATGTTTCGCGTATCGAAGAGAGAATCAAACAATGGAACACAGTATACATCAAGTCAAGTTGAAAAGACAAATCATTCATGCGTATCGCGATTGCATGTCATTTTTGCGGCTGCTTCGCCACCAGTTTTGCTGTTAATGTGCGTTCAAGTTTTTTTTAGACAAAACACAAAAAGAGAAGAGCAAACGAGCGAGCGAGCGAACGAGAGAGAGAGAGAGAGAGAAGTAACACACAGCACATCCATCCAAACCATATTCGATAAAACGAATGAGACAATGATAATATAATAACAGCGATGGCGGTGCAGTAGCGCAAAAAGTGCTCGTTTGATTTTCGAAGAACAAAAAGATCGAATGATAAATAGAACAAGTAGTGAGAAGCCGAAGTATTATCGTTCCCATGAATAATAACAGCAGCGCGAAAAAAAGTACACATACACAAAAACATCGACACGAAATCAAAATCGCTTGAGAATATTTTAAACATAATTGCGACCTTAACATCCACTGTTCATGTCGTTGTTGTTCGTTTCATTTTTTGTTGTTGTTGTAAAAATTTGTAGATAAGCACAAAGCACCCGACGCTATTTTTTTCGGTGCCGTTCGATTTTCAGTTCGACTCATCAACAACAGAGCCAGAATCAATTTATTACATATTTTTTTGTATACCCGGTTCGATTGTTCGTCATTGCTTTGCCGATGCTACTATTCGCTTTTTATTATTCGGCACGGGGATTTGTTTTGTTTTCATTCTCGAATGTCGAAATAATTAATAAAGAGGTTGCCTCATTTGATTATTCCCAGCACAATGCACATCGATCACGTTATATAAGCGATATAACGAAACTAATGAAAAAAATATTCTCCGCAAAGTACTCGGTGAAAAAAGCGATGTGCTCGCAGTACCTTTATTCGTCTGTTCAGTCTTTCTCATTCACTCACTCAACCGGTCCTCTATAGACTGTGTATTTCATTCATTCGTTCACTCTTTTTAGATTTTTGTTTTCGTTTCGTTAATTATCCGAGCTTTTAAATTGAAAAACAACAGCGTTGACTTGACGGTTTGTTTGCCTCGTATCGTACATTAAATTCAGCACAATAAATGATCTCGACTTTATTAAAGTTAGTGAGTAAATTACACCGATTTTTATTCACCAATATAGTACATTCATATAGTGCGTGATTGTGTTTTCAAAATGCTAGTGCTATTTTGATTCCCAGTGAGTGAGTGTGTTTGAGTTTGTTTATATTCTTGATTTTTCTGCTCATTATCTTGCCATGGCGTGTGTGTGTGTGTTTCACGTGCATCAATAATAATTTATTTGTTCGTGCGCGTTCATCTCCATATAAATTAAAAACACGAATTGATCCGCTCAAGCTAAAAGCCATGCAAACATACAAGAATAACTCATTCACTCACGTTTGGATTGTAGATTTGGTTGCGTGCATTTCCATACGGTTGGACAGCGAATAATTACGATTCTAGGTGAAAATAACACAGAAAAAAGGGAAAACAAGTGGCTTCGGCCATAAAATTCCATCCACCACTTCTCTCTCTTCCCCTGTCCCAATTTTATTTTTTTAACATTTTTATATTGTTACATACAGAGTACCTGAATATTTTGAATCAATGTACATTCATTGAAAGCTGAATTTGCTTATCACCGGAAACTGAGAGAGAGAGAGAGAGAGAGAGAGAGAGAGAGAAATTGATTGTTTCATGAGCATATGAAGCGAATTTATGTGCTATGGCAAAAATCTCGAACAAACAGCACGTTCGCATTCCGCAAAAAACGGACTTCGATTGGTTGAGTCAGATATCGTGTGGTGGCTTCTGAGATTTTTTTATTAACGTTCCATACGAAAAAAATTTTTCGTTGATTTCTTTTTGTTCTGTTCATACATGCGCACACACTGGGATTACAATTTAACGAATACGACACGCGATACATTGAAAGCTCATAAAAACACTCGACTCTTTGCATGACGCCAACATACATATTAACGTCATCCGCAAAACTCTTCACTCGATCCCGATGAAATTTACGAATTGCATATTAGAAATGAACGGATTGAAATTGTTGTTTTTATTGTGCAGTTTGGACATCAATTCTCTGAATACAGATGAACACGTTAGAGAGACCGCAAATATTCATGCAAATGATATTCAAAGAAGCACAAACACCAATGATGGCACATTCGGTTTAACAAACCAAACGAGAAAAATGCGGTCGCACTAATCTAAAAACTACGCTATCTAACTGACACAGACAAAACACCAACAACAACAAATATAATAAAAGTGTATTCTCTCTTACGCTATAGCGTCAAAATTTATGATTATGGCTCGAAAAATGAAAGTTGTGCTGACTCACCACAATAATAACTTTTTTTTTGACATATGTTGTTTCGCATCGAAAGGCTCTTTTGTTTTGTCAAAATGAATTCGAAATGGTTTTGATTTTTAGATGTAAAAAAAAAAATAATCGCTATGACGCGATTCATTATGCAATTTACTTATTAACATTTCTTTTATAATTCAATCGAGTGTTGTTTTCGATGAAAAAAAAAATGAAAATTCCTAGATGACAATAGACACTTAACAAAATTGTCTAAATCAGCAACGCTTAATTTACTGTAACTAGGTGATGACATTGAGGCACGATGAATTTTTTATACTGTACAGCAATCTCATTGTTTACTATTTCAATCACATCAGCATGATTTGCTGAACGGTATTCTGTCCTTCCGTTGCAAAAGTGCCAAGTTCTTGAAAATAATCGATTTCACATGTAGAAAAATGATTACCGTTTAAAATGTGACATTAATTGCAGTTTTGTTTGAATCTAATATCCCACACAGTAATTAAATCGATTATAGCCATTGAAAAAGTTGAGCAAGTTAATCATGATAATTTTTTTTCTCTATATTATTTTCTTCTCTTTTTTTTATGTAGTTGCATCTAAGGAATTGCGAACCGATCAAGTTCCGAATAGTCCGCCAGTGGTATTAGTTGACAATCATTGGAAAATTCCCGAAGATGAAAAAATCGATACGGTGATAGCTCGAGTGCAGGCCAGCGACAATGATCCGAACGATGTGCTGACATTCGGTCTTGAGCCCAGCGACGGAGCCGAAGATGAACAACTGCCATTTCGAATAAATCGTGACACCGGCGTTGTTTATCTAAACGAAAGTTTAGAAGGACGAGGTGGTCAAAATTTTTTACTCTATGTCACCGTCACCGATGGCACGTACCATGCAAAAAACGGCGTTTTTGTGAATATCAAATCGAAAAATAGCCAAGCAACACATGGAAATGGTGCGCCATCATTTATTCCACATCCGCATAATGTAACGCGTTTGTTGCCTCCATTTAATACATTGCCCGGTGTTCCAACACCACCGCCACCATATCCAATCTATACATTGCCACCAAATTATGTACATACGCCAAAAACAAACAGTTCAATGCCAACAAAAACACCACCAACGACGTCGACTACAACGGCCACCAATGAAATACCATCGTCCACCGATGAAAATCCAAATGGAAATGCCACGCATTCGGATGCTGATGGTAATACGATGAATGGCACAAATAGCACGTCAGAGACAACAATCTTTCCACGATCCACATTGAAAACGGTTTTACCAATTGCAATCATTGTGTGCGGTATTATCATTGCATCGGGTCTAATTGTATCGTCGTTTGTATTTCGAAAGCGCTTATGTGCCATTGGCAAATCACTGAAAAATAAAAGCAAAGAAGAAATGGCCAAAAAATCAAACCAAAGCAATTCCAGTTTTAACACAAATACGGTTATGATGTCGTCGATATCGGAAGATAGTCGCAATTCAATGGTAATGCAGCATTGGAATGGTCCGACAGCGTTTAGCAATCGATATGTCCCCTGGGAGCGAGAGAATTCACACATGCAGGTAAATATCTATTCTCACTTATTAGTCCCTATCTTTCTTCTCATTGCCACTTTATTCTATCTGCTATGCTCACACACATGCCGGAGAAAATTTGAACATTTACTCGCCGACACACCGGTCACGCTACTTTTGCTCATCAAGATCCACAAGCAGCAAAATGAACAAACAAGAGACATAAAAATAAAATTTCGCATAGAATATGTAAAAGGAAAGGGATGTGCAATAAAAGTAAAAGCACTGCAAAGATACCATTTCAAAACAGGTTTCTCCGGAGCTAAAATAGTAAAAACAATCAGCAGCATCGACTAAAGCGAATCATATAAAAGCGCCAATAACTAAAACAGATTTATTTTTATTATGTTGTTATGGGCTGTATCTTCTTCGCTGTGCTCCCTTTTTCGGGGGGAGTGAAGAACGCGCGCGAACGGTGTACCATATAACATTTCGATAGACGATCGAATCGCTTTCACATCACTTTTGAATGATATAGGATGTCCATGGTAGTATTTACGATGTGAATGTGCATTGGCGTATTAAATGTAAGACACAGGCAGTTTTCTTTTCATTTTATTTCACCAAATGATAATGCGCACACAAAAGAATACTCGATAACATACACACATGCATTCACTTATTAAATCGAATTGAATCACTTTGAGCTCTTGTTCGTTCGCTCACCACACACGGCAAGAGATCAGATTCAGCAGAAGCATAGACATAAATGAGTGTGTGTGTGTGTGCCAATCCAATCATGATTGATATCGATGTGTGAAAAGAAGACGAGCCGACAACATAAAACCAAATCTCACATTCATTCGTTCTCGTTTATGGTGCTCAAAAGCGGCCATTCATAAAGATGTTTCTTCTTTGGCGATGCTATTTTTTTGTTGTTGCAGGCGCTTTCTATCTCCTTTTCACAAACCATAAATTATTTATAGCGTTACCGAAAAATTTCATTACGTCGACAGAAAAAGTGATAACACAAATGAAAAGACTTTTGTTCGGCAAAAAAAGGGGATGCTACACACGAGCTTTGGCGGTGCACATTGAAAACTTTCATTATATAATTCAGGCCATGTGTTATGTTTACATGACGAATTGCCGTATGCTTTTGATGCCACAGAGAGCCGTTTTAATGGCGAAGAAAGTGAACGAAAGAGAAAGAAAATTTGGTTTAATGGCTGGCGATGATCAAATCTCTACATATACATTTCTCTTTACTCGTCTCATTCTCTCTTCCGATTGCTCGTCTTGTGTCAGCTATTACAGGCATCCATAGAATTACCTGCGTCATACGTGCACGTTCAACTCATTCAAATGTGTGATAATTTCAATCTTGCCTTTCCATCTTGCTTCTACTCGCATTCGGTTTTTATCTGAAAGAATCTTTCGACCATTATCTCATAAATGAAACGTATCCCATTATGTGTGTGTTGTTGCTCGTTACATTCGAACACGTTGAACATAACAATAATGGTTTTGTTGCCGGAACAAATATGTTATACGCGCACATATTGCCTCCGAGTAACATTTAACTAACAACCATCTTTCTTTTCTCGTTTTTCATCATCTCATCGTATCGGGATATCGAGAGAAAAAAACAAGCCGTAGCAAAACCATAATGAAGTTCAGTTGAAAGATATTTGACAGCAATTTTGTTCTTGTTGTTGTTCCTCGTCTATATGAACCGATAAACTGCTTAAAGTCTTATGATACCATTTGCATGGAAATATTGAAATTTGCCGAACAGTTTTGATTGAGAAACCATATTGTTATCATTCGCCATGGTGCACGCAACTGATACCAGAATATAGTGAATTTGTGTATGAACATGTGTATCAACTGTCGAATAATAAGGTTACTATTATGTTCGCACCCTTTTTTTCTCTGTTGCTCAGCATAAAAAGGTATAATGAGTTTAAGCAGTTTACGATACCACACTTGCTTCGATCGAATCGTTTCTTTTGTTCGGTTTTTTCGTCATTGTTGAAGCCATTTGTGGCAAAGAGTAGGGCAGAAGCATCAACCGTATACACTTATTTAAGATGACCATAATGGTTTTTTCGAATTTTTATGTATCGAATCGATACTCCATCTCATTGGGAATTTCTTGCACTTGGGTTTTTTTGATTTTCGTTTCTTTTTTTTCTAAAATCGTCTCTTTTTCGGTGGAATTTCAGGCAACATCACAGCTATCAACAAGTAGCTCGAATTCACAAGGCAAATCAGATCGATGGGATTTCCCAAGACATCGATTAAAGTTTTTCAATATTTTGGGAGAAGGAGCGTTCGGACAAGTTTGGCGCTGTGAAGCTATTGACATGAACGGTATGTAGAACATTGAACATTACAAATAAAAACACTTTGATAGCTAAAACACTCATCAAAATATGGAGAACGAAAGTGAAAAAAAAAAAACGAAGATAAAAGTTAAAGAAACGCCTAGAACCATACAACGTTAAAAAAAATGTGTGATTTGGTCATTTCAAATACAACAGATGCATGCACAACAAAAATCAAATGAATAAAATATAAATATCATTTGGTGTCTGGTCTATTGAATTCCCGTGACAATTTCACACCATATTTTCGATTGGAAATCAAAGTGGCATATCGTACACATTAAATTTGGACATACACATACATACATACATGCATACATTCACCATGAGCAAAAATGGGCAATAGAGAGTAAAGGGGAGAAAGCGAGAGAATGTGTGACGAAAACGAAAAAAATGCCGTCCATCATTGCCGACTCGTTTGGCTATCGGCAATGTGAGATTCGCAACGCAAAAATAATATTTTATTGAATTTGTGTCGTTAGTCGTCACTTCGTTACATTCATTGACATTGTTGTGAACAACGTACGATAACAATGACTATGGGAATATGTGTGTTATATATGTGCTTGGCCATGGTGCTGACTTGACTTATTGTTACAACTTGTCCATTTTCATGTGTTTCGATTTATTTTTCCAATTTTGTGTTCAATCTCTCACTCTCTTGCTTCTCTCATCTGTCTGCGTTTGCGATCTGGCCTCCGGATTCAAGCGACAATATTTGAGGCAAGCCAGCCAATACATTTGTCTTTCTTACGCTCGTTATTTCACATCTTTCCCTCCCGCGCCGCCGTCGCTGCTGCTGCTTTTCATTTTGTGTTCTACCCATAAAAACGTACTCCAACAAATAACATAAATAAACAAATGAAATTGGAATTGAAAAATAAGGACGACGAATTGATTTTGATGACACATCCACACAGAAAATTGTCCAACTTTCTTAGCGAAGACTCGCGCTCACGCAAAAGCGAATGGGAAAACTTGAACACAAAAAAGACATTACAAATTAAATAAACGACCAAAATGAAACGGTAATATTGAGAGCCAAAAAGGAAAAGAATGGTAAGGGGAAGATGAAAAAAAAGATGTCATAAAACGCCTCGTTCGAACTACTATTATTTGAACGCATCTTAACTTTTCTCTTGCCAAAGTTTTTGTACTTCATAAAAGTTTTATTAAATAAACTTTAAAGAGAAAACATACAATGCAGAACGAAAAATCGACGATGAGATACAAAAAAAAAATGTATCCCGATAGAGTTCGACAATGAACGTTGGCGACAAGCGATAACAGAGCGCGTTCATCAGTGCACAACTTTCAATGTAGAAAATAAATTGAAAAAATAAAAAGCAGCGAATAACAAACAAATAAGTGAAAGAATAAATCGAAGAAATAATTTTTAGCAAGCGAGACATAATCTGGCGACAGATATCAAACTTGTGTCCCAACAAATTATTACGAATGAACTGATCAATAATCGAATTCAAATTGCGCACAGACTTCGACACAAACACACACACAGCAAATCCATGAACTGTGTGACATCATGTTTGGTGTGTGACTTGCCGGATAAAATATATTATATGCAATGGATGTCTTATGCATGATCTTTAAGCAGATTATATGCAATTGGTCGCACACACAAAGTGAGCCAGAAAAAGAAAATGAACATTGCAAATTGATTTTTGTCGCTCTTTAGTATTTTCGGTTTTATCTCTCTCTCTTTCTCTTTTCGTCTATATCTGTTGTGCTCAGTGATTCGAAACGATGGAAATGATTTTCAAATTTTTTTGGCAACTGACCGCACTGAATACGTTCCAAGCTTATGAACCATAAATTACCCCCATTTCTTTTTCTTCCATCGCTTCATCGAAAACTCTCGCTCGCACCATCACAGATCAACTTTGGATTGCGTGAAAAATAATAATCGAAGCACAGATAAGATGCAATAAATTAGATATGTTCGTCTTTTTATTTCGTATTCCGCAAAATCGAGGTTTATTATTATTTTGGGGCCAGAATATAAAAAGGATATTGAGAGTATTTTCATGTGTACATTTCTTTTTCGGGTCTTGATTCTTGTTTGCCGTTATTGTTGTGTCATTTCCGAAAGCCGAGCAAGAGAACGAGAGAATGAGACCTCTTATTCTCTTGTTCGACACTGTTTATGCCGGATTTTCAGTCCATTGCAAAACAGATAAATCGATTCACATTTTCTTATGCGCAAAACACAGCCACACATCTATATGTATACACTTTTCGCAGCAGAAATGAACGACGATGACGATGTTTTTCGATCACGATGCAAGTTTTAAATTAGATTTTCAATGAAGTGAACACCCCATTTTAAACTTGTTTCCGAAATAAATCCGCTCGGAATAATTTAATACGGTCACTTTTGATACTTTTCACCCGGTACAAAACGATGTGAGAAAGTCTTATTTCAAATTCCGCTCAATTAAATTTTAAAATTAATGAAACTGCTCAATTTCAACACAACCAATACACATTTAGATCAAGTCTATTGAAGAAAATGCCAACATTGAAAACTTTTCACAACATTTAACTTACTTGGCGGCGCCTTACAAAACTATTGTATCAAATTTTGATTAAAATCAAAATAA